TGCTTAATATGAATATTTAACAGCACTTTGTTTAGTATTGTTTTTTAATGTACTATGTTACTGAATGACAGAAAAATTTCAAAGGTACATGGCCCACTGGTTTGGTTTCACAAACCCCATAATAATATATACAAACCCCCATGAATAATAGTTTGTTAAAACCATATATGTACAGGGAAGCAAAAATCAACAATAGCCTAATAAACTAAACTAATAAACTAAACACTATAACAAGGTCCTTTAGATGCACATCATCTCCAATTTTTTTGTGCTGTAATACTCTGACCTTTCACTGTACTCTATGAAGGAATGATGAGTTCCACATGCTTTTAAGTGTCATCAGGAGATAAGTGGAAACATCTCCATCTATCCATAGAGATCATCATCATCATCAGACATGTACCTGTAACCATCGTACGTCCGATCATTGCGATACCTGCAATCATATTTTTAGGAGTAAGCTTTAACATAGAAAATAAGAAATAAGAATAAGAAATAGTTGCTAAATCAGAAGAAATGTGCATGTATGATAACTGTTGTTTAAAAACAATGAATATACTTACTTAAAGCTGACAAATGGCTCTAAAATATGAGCCACATTCACACAAGCTGCTGTAAAACAGCTGATATACACACAGCTATATGCCCATACCATATTAAGCTTATTTTCAACATAAAATAATTTAGTAGATGCTAAATCAAATAATAAATGCAAATATGCATGCATTATATCTGAATACACTTACGTCCTGGGCCATACTGCTTTCCCTGTTTTACAGAAATCTGAAATCAGGGGATATTTCTTCATTTTAAAAGTTAAACAAGCATGTTTCAGTGGGTAAAGAGTGCAAACACGAATTAAGTGATAAAATTATGTATAATCTGCGTCTCTCTGAGTTCCTACGTTTTTTTCTTCCCTTACACACTGTTAAATGAATAAACATTTTTACATTTTTGTATACATTTTCTTTTACAGCTTTTTCCCCTTATGATCATAGAATCTTCAAAGTAGGCTGTTTTGACTTACTGTGGACAACTCAAGGTTGTGGCATGGGGACATAGTGTCTCCGTTCCCTCCATCAGGGAATGAGGGTTACGTATGTAACCAAGACGTTCCCTATCTGGACACTACGAGTTATGTCGAATGACAAAAGGGGTCTATGGAAAACGCCACAACCTGGAACAACTGCCAGAAGAGACTGAAAGAGCGGATCTGTCAAGGGAAGACACAGGTTTACCGAGAGGGAAACCTTACCGCGGAAGAAAACACATATGGGATTACCCGTAGGGAATCAAGACATATGGACACCTAGCCAAGTACAGGGGCTGACCGGGACTCCGGGCATGCTTACACCAGTACTGGGCCTGGCGTCAGACTGCTCCGCCAAGTCTGACTGCCGGGGGTGCTGGAGGATGCTCGACCAGGGTTCGCCAAACGGGGAACTCTACTGGGAGAAGAAAGGTGGTCGCATCCCCGTGTGAGGGGGAATGGCACAGTAAGCGTGACACCGAGCCAGATCTTCCTGACAATTACCGGTTACCCAACACATGGGAAGAAACCGGCTCTACACAAAGGTTGTAAAACCTTGCGATGATGTTAGGTGTCGCCCAGCCCTCAGCTCGACAGATGTCTGCCAGAGAGGCGCCGCACGCCAGCGTCCAGGTGGAGGTAACGCTCTGAGTGGAGTGGGCTCTCACCCCCAGGGGGCACGGCTCGCCTCAAACCCCCATGAATAATAGTTTGTTAAAACCATATATGTACAAAGAAGCAAAAATCAACAATAGCCTAATAAACTAAACTAATAAACTAAACACTATAACAAGGTCCTTTAGATGCACATCATCTCCAATTTCTTTTGTGCTGTAACACTCTGGCCTTTCACTGTACTCTATGAAGGAATGATGAGTTCCACATCTCCTGATGACACTTAAAAGCATAAGTGGAAACATCTCCATCTATCCATAGAGAGCATCATCATCAGACATGTGCCTGTAACCATCATACAAATAATAAAAGCAAATATGCAAGCATGATAGATAATAATACACTTACGTCCTGGGCCATACTGCTTTCCCTGTTTTACATAAATCTGAAATCAGGGGAGATTTCTTCATTTTAAAAGTTAAACAAGCATGTTTCAGTGAGTAAAGAGTGCAAACACAAATTAAGTGATACAATTATGTATAATCTGTGTCTCTTTGAGTTCAAGTTTTTTCTTCCCTTACACACTGTTAAATGAATAACAATGTATACATTTTTGTATACATTTTCTTTTACAGCTTTTTCCCCTTATAATCATAGAATCTTCAAAGTAGGCTGTTTTGACTTACTGTGGACAAATAAACAACCACCAAATAACGTCTCAGTTACGTACGTAACCCTTGTTCCCTGATGGAGGGAACGGAGACGTTATGTCGAATGACATATGGGGTCTGTAGGGAGGTGACATGTGGAGATACTGATATGGACTGACCCAGAGAGCAGTACTACATATGGAATGGGTCTCTGAGGCAGCTCCTTCATTAGAGTAGGGATGGAACAACTGCCAGAAGAGACTGACAGTGCGGGTCTGTCAAGGGAAGACAGGTTTACAGAGAGGGAAACCTTACCGTGGAAGAAAACACATATGGGATTACCCGTAGGGAATCAAGACATATGGACACCTAGCCAAGTACAGGGGCTGACCGGGACTCCGGGCATGCTTAC